GCCTTTTTCTCAGTCAGTGGCCAGTTACAAAGGCTGCTGCTCTAGCTTAAAAACTCCACAGCCACTTTAGGTAAATCTGCAGCAGTGCCCAAAAATCCCAGCACTGGGTGTGAGCCGGCCATTAAACCACCTGCTGGGAAATGCAGCGAGGCCTCCTCTTGCCCAGGCCTTGGGAAAGGCCACGATTCTTCACAGAAGCCATGAAAGGGCGAGAAGAAAGTTTAGACCTCTCTCATAATTGCAACAAAAACCCACTGGCTTCTGCACATGGGGAAATCCCCTGTCTTTTGTGACCCTAAAACAGTCCATCTTCCACCTACTAAATAAATGTCTCCTTTTTCAATTTTTTTTTCTCCTGACAATCTACAGTGACCAAGGTGATGATGGGAAATAGAATCTTTGTTTATTTCTCTAAAATGTGTCCCCACGCCCCCATTCCATCAAATGTTACTTCCTACCAGTACTAAAACATGGGGATCAAAATGACAGGTGGCTGTCAGCGGCAAGGCCACCCACATACGAGGTGGTCAGCAGGCATTTTTCCATTAGAATAAGGAAAAGGTCACTCCCTGACCACCGCTCCAACCTCACCTTCCCCTCCACCCTGCGCCCAGCCACCATGGCTGTTTCCCCGCGGAACCCACGGTGGGCTGCAGGCCGGAGTGTGGGTGAGAAGAGTGTGGGAAGGGCCATGAAAACCACAGGGCACGTCATTCACAAGCCTGCCCTGCAGAATTTCCCCTACAGACCATTTCTCATCTCTGAGTCCAATGAACTCTCGGGACATTCGTCAAGTTTTGTGACCAGTTGAATATCATATTCCTGGATGGAAAAGATACACTTCTCATTGCTCAGTGAAATTTAAAGTAAGATTTTCTCTACTGCTCCAGGAGAATTATAAGTTAAACTTCCTTTTAAGGTTCAGAGTAAAAAGAGCAGTGTTTATATCTCAAATGGAAAACTCATGCATTTTTTCGCTCACTCTCTCATGTTTCAAGAGCTGCTGTGAGTCGGGTTCCCTGGGTGGGATCCTGACACGGAGACTCACTCGGGTGCCCGGGCGATGGGAGAGCGCTCTGCGGACCTTTGTGAAGGAAGCAGGGGCGGCGGCTGCCCCAGATCTCGGGGAGCTCTGGCGGGAGCTCTGGCGGGAGCACCTCTCCCCCCGGGGCTGCTCCTGGCTGCGGCAGGGGCGGGGCCTGTACGGTCTCCCGGCGCCCGTGCAGGTGCGACGGTGCTTTTCCGTGATCGCAGCTTTCAGAGAGGAGCCCGGCTGACACGGTTCATCCTTCCGGCCACGGGGGCATCCAGAGAGGGCCTGGGGGTACACCGCCTGTGTGCCCCTGGAGCCAGCTGAGGACCAGCGTCGGATTCAACTGCTCCTGCGAACACTGAACGTTTCCTCTGAATTAGGAGGTCACCATGAAAAGCAAATGGGGGAACACACTAGATTCCCTTAAAGTTTTCCAACCATTGATTCAGTTTCATAAACAGGTATTAAAAACGATGCTACGGTAAGCAGCCCCGAAGTCCATCTCCGGCAGCGGCGAGCGGACTGGGCACTGCTCCCCGGCAGGGAGGGGGCACCTGCACGTGCGCGTCCGGCGGGCAGTAGCCCCAGAAGAAAACACGTGCTGGGTGATTGCATTTATGTGAGATTCTACAAAACTGCGCGGCCGGTGTGGCGCAGTGGCTGGGCATCAACCCTGCACCAAAAGGTCGCCGGTTCGATTCCGGGTCGGGACACTTGTCCAGGTTGTGGGCCCGATCCCCAGTGGGGGGCAGGCAGGAGGCGCCAGTCCATGTTCTCTCTCATGGATGCTTCTCTCTCCCTCTCACTTTCTCTCTCTAAAATCAATAAAGGAAAAAAATTTTTTAAAAGATTCTACAAAGTTAAAACTAATCTATAGTAACAGAAAGCGGATCTGTGGTTGTTTTAAGAAGGGATGTAGGGAGGGACAGAGAGAGGGTTATAAAAGGCCAAGGAAACTCTCCCGGTGATGGATGTGTTCACTATCTTGATGGTGATTTGATAGGTGGTGTATAGGTCGAAATGTACCAAAGTGTACTCTTCATTATGTCACATTATGTCATTTATATGTCAATAAAGCTATTTTATAAACAACTCTCCTGTGAGTGTGTCTGTGCCAGGCCCCAGGAGCACTAGGGGAATAAAAATAGACTGCCTTCAGGGAGCTGGAGTCTAGCAAGGGAGACAGATGTACATTCAGCTAAATACAATGCAAATCAGAATAAAAACTAGTATGATATAGTCCTGGCCGGTTTGTCTCAGCAGTTAGCGTGTCAGCCTGAGGACCCAATGGTAGCAGGTTCGATTCCTGGTCAAGGGCATGTACCTGGGTTGCAGGTTCAATCCCTGGCCCCCCAGTAGTGGTTGTGCAGGAGGCAGCCAATCAATGTGTCTCTCACAACAATGTCTCTCTCTCTCTCTCTCTCTCTCTCTCTCTCTCTCTCTCTCTCCCTCCCTCCCTCCCTTCCACTCTATCTAAAAATCAATGGAAAAATATCCTCAGGTGAGGATTAACAAAAAATAATAATAATAACGAATATGCTATAATATGCTATAAAGTAAGAAACTGTTTTGGAGGCAAAGAAAAGTAGAGAATGATTTTTCTTGGGAGTGTGGAGGACATGACAGTTAACTCCCAGTGTTTACTATGTGCCAGGCACTCAAGTACATTAATGCCTTTAATTCTCACCACAGCCACAGGTGGGTGCTGTCATTATGCTTGTTTCACAGGTGAGGAAACTAAGGTGTGGTTCCAGAATCCAAGTTCTTAATCCCTGGTCACTTGGTCTGGGCCTCAGAGAGTGAATAGAATCACCCCAGAAATAGAGGCCGTTTTTGGCAGAGAGGACCCAGTATGCCTACTACTCTGCTTGAAATACAACAGGCATTTTCTGTGGATATATACTGTGGAGTGCTAAAACGGGAGGTCAGGGCCAGTGTGGATGGTCTTCAATGACTTGCTAAAGAGTTTGGACTCATCAGGCAAAAGAAACGACTAAAAGTTTTTGACTAGAAGAATAGTATCAAATTTGAGTTTCAGAAAGAGAATGAAAGTGAAGAGAAAGTCTACCTGTCTGTGGTTAAGTGAGCTCCTGGCAAATTTACTGTCAAACCGTTCACAGGCATTGCTCTGAAACCACATTAAACCAATAGATTTGGGATAGATTCCACTGTAAAATTAAGTTTCAATCTCAGAATATTTTCTATCTGGTCACCTGAGTCCTGTATTCATTCTGTTTTCACCTATGTTTTTTAACATTTCTGCCCAACAGAAAATTACAGAAAACAACAAATTGGAAAATAGAAAAGCAAAGTGACCCTTTTGCAGGCTTCTTGCCTGAATTTAGTTCAGAATTGGTTCACCCACACCCCACCTCCACACACACTGGCTTAACATAAAAAGTCCTATGATGACATTTTAACTTTTTTTCTGGTAAAAGTGATTCCTCCTAGATTCAAGTAATAAGATTTTTCAAAAGCTGACTCCACAATGTCACATCTGGCAGCCCTGCAGATAAAGCCCTGTCCTCCTGTGCTATGACCGGAGTGTTGGGACCCTATGAAGAATAGCATCTTCCAGACGGAAATGCGAGGAACTTCACTAGCCGTGGTCAGTGCTCACGGCCATGGGAGGCCCAAAGGAACAGTGTATGTGCACTGTCCTCAGGCTTTCTCAAGCAGGTAGGAGACAGGGCACAGAAATAAAGCCTCGCCCCAAAGCAAGGACATGGCATTAGCAGGAGAATCAAATGCTTAGACACTATGGAGGCTTAACATAAAAATTGGAGCCCATGGAGGAAATCTTATGGGGAAAATAATGATCAGACCAAAGATTCCAAAGTGTTAGCTTGTATTCTCCCTGTGTCACCTCAGGCAGACTCAATTATTTATTTTAAAAAATTATACAATGCAACACTCAATCCCTGTCTTCATAAGCAAGTCAATGTATTTCAGTACAGTCAACCAATACTGAGGAGAATCTCCTGTGACCCTGGCCACCCCGCCAGTCAGCGGAGTCAGGGCTGGCTCACACGTCTCCTGGTCTCTGCCCCAGAACACGGTCACAATCAGCCCTGCTCAGACTTGCCTTAAGACACCTGGAAGGCCTGGTGAGCGCACAGGTGGCTCCTCATTCAGGTGAGATTCTGATTTAACCATTCTGGGCGGACCCTGGCAATCTGCATTTTTAGCTGATGGTCATAGGCATTCATGTCACGTTAGACCATACTAAACTTAAGAAAGCTCCATTTTGTCTCCTCTTTTTATTCTCTTTCTACCTGTTGAAGTAGGTAAAATATTTGAAAGACATTTTCCTACCCAAACTATTGACACATTTACAGACTATTAACACATGTCAACTAGAACCAGTAAATATTATTTCCTTTACAATTTTCAAACATTACAGACTAGCCTCTATTTTCTAAACATCAGTCTATTAGTATGTCGCTGTGTATCTCTGGAAAAATGAAATCAAGTCTATCTCAATTTGTTCAGTTATTGAGGATTAAATACCAAAATTCTTCATTTGTGTATTGTCACACCCATTGGATCACATTCTCCTAATACAAGGGTGTATCTATCATGTCAGATTTTATCTTAAAGCAATGCATACCAGATGGCTGAATAGATGAAGGGATGGATGGATGGATGGATGGATGGATGGATGGATGGGTGGATGGGTAGATAAACAGATTTTTTCAAATGAGCAAATATGTGAATGAATGAATTCTGTTCCTAAGAACCACTATAAATTGTTGCCAGAATTAGAAATAGAAAATATTCCCAAGAATTCAGCAAAACCTGTCTCATTATAATTGTTTAATTAAACTAGAAAAGTAAAAATAAGGTGACATGACTATACAGGGACATTTTAATCTCTCCCACACCTCCTCTCCCCAGATGCTTGCGCCCCGCTGACTTACCAGCGCTACCCACGTGTGGTAGAAGGATCTGTGCCACCAACACAGCACTCACAGCTCTCCGTAGCAAGATGACACATGTGGCCCACCGAATGTTCCAGCGGGAGGTGTTCTGGGGGCAGCTAACTAAGGAGGGGGCTTCCAGAGCTGGTGGAGGGGTTGACATACATGAGGTCACAGAGCTGCTGCCTCTCCCCCTTCAAAAGAAGCCACTCTGCTCCAGCTATTTCAGAACCGGGAGGAAGCTGACAGCTCAACAGCACGCAGCACAGTATGTGGTGGAGAGTTTGCAGCCTGCTGGCTTGGCTCCCCTTACAAGGTAAGTAACTTTCTTTGATGCTCCGTTGACCTAATGTTTTGCCAAATCTACTGGTCAATCAACTGCACTCTCGAAGGACCTACAGCAGAAGGCAACCCGGGTAAATTTGCTAATATATTCCAAGTCACAACAAATTACACATTTATTTAATCTCTTGTTCAATTGATAAAGGGTACTGTAAAGATCATTGTGGCATGTGTCTCTGTGGGTTCTATGTTATGGCGAAATGTGACAAGCTTACTGGATTTTTTAAAAGTACACCAGTTGAAAGAGCATCAGTTTTAGGTTTTAAAATTTTCCTTGCTGTATAAGTCTTAGCAAATAATGTAATTTCTCTGAAACTCCATTTCTGTATCTTGAAATGAAGATAATAACAATGTTTGATCTACCACACTCCCTGCATGGTTATAAGAATCAATTTTAAATAAAAAGCACTTTGAACATATCAAAGTGCTATACAACTCTACTTAAGTCAGAAATAGTCATGAGCACAATGAGACTTTGTGCTTATTTCTTAAGAGTCAGTTATACTTTACATTTTATTATAATTTTCAAATATTATTTTTGGTCTTTAATTTTAATGCAGCATTACAGAAAATAAAAAAAGACTCGGTTACCTTTTGAGCACAGGTAAAATGATTCCTACTCAAAAATGGGGGCAGGGGTACAGGTGTCCCTGGATATCTGAGTGCGACTTGTCTCTGCTCTGGCAGAAGAAACCACACATGAACGTACTGCTTGCTTGTTGTGGGTGTGTGTGTTTGCTGAACCTGGGGTTATGTTTTACGTAATGTACCTGTCCTTCAAATTTGCACTCACCCTAGTGAGTGCATCGGAAAGATTCTATTTTTAAAAACTAGATTTTCTATTTTACCTAATATTTCAATATTTTATTTTATATACTTCAATCTGTGCCTTCTTGTTTGATCCCTGTCCCCTCAGGCACTTGATCAGTGTTCAATTCTGGTAATAAATAATATTATTTCCTTTAATTAGTGGCTTAAACAATAGCTACTACATTCAGAAAACAATACATTTAGATGGCTAAAATTAGAATGCTTTCTATTATTCCACAGCTTAAAGCCTTTAACCGACCTTAACTTTTTCAGGATTCAAGTTATTGTCTCATCAAAAAAAAAGTCACAAAAATATGTTTTTAAATAAAAACAGCAATAACCATATTTTATAGTAAACCTAAGATGGGTCATTTAGAAAGATAGAAGTACATTTATTGTGTAATGCACAGAACTGAGCATATTTTTTTAAATTGATTTCATAGAGAGAGAGGAAGGGAAAAGGAAAAAGAGATAGAAACATCGATGTGAGAGAGAACTATCAACTGGCTGCCTCCTGCACACCCACTACTAGGGACTGAACCCAAAACCCAGGCATGTGCTCTGACTGGGAATCGAACCAGTGACCTCTTGGTGCATGGGTCAATGCTCATCCACTGAGCCACACTGGCTGGGCAGAAGTGAATATTTGTGTTAATTTACATTTAATTCTAGCAAATATGTGAGGTAGGTATTAATATCCCTAACTTACATAAGAGAAAATTTGAGGTTAAAAGAAGTTAGATAACCTGTTCAAGTTTTCATAACTAGTTAATGATACTGTAAGTATCAGCTTACAAAGCACACAGTAAAAGTATATTCTCATCAATCAGTGTGTGTGTGTGTGTGTGTGTACTGGGTTGTGACAGAAAATGTGTTTCTTAATGTGGATCAAACGTTTGAAAACCATTGAGTTACACAATTTGGAAGATACATTATTAAGCTTCCCAATGTGAAAACTTACCCAAAGGGCCGCCCAGAGGGCATGGAGTCTCCCTGGTATCTGAGTACTGACTGCCCACCTGACCTACTCTTGCTCAGGCCCACCAGGGTCCCAAATAAGAAAGGAGCTGACCATGTTGCTCTCTTGTTGGTAAAGAGGCAGCAAAGCCATTCTGACACCATTATGAATTATCGGCTGGTTTTCACTAATGAAATCATGGGACCATCACGCTACCTTCTTGTAGTGCGCAACTTCTAAGACTGCCAAGAAGGTACAGGCAGAAAACCCCCTAACCTTGGAGCCTACACTCTTTTCAAGGCTACCGTTGGCACAAAGAGCTGCCAGGATGGGTACGACACAGCAAGGAGGAAGAACTTTCCAAACTCATCCCGTTGGCCTGTATTGTGGATGACGAAAATCCACCAGTTTGCACCTCTGTTCTGGTTATTTAGTGGAGGGTGGGGCACAGGAAATAAAGAGGACAGTTGTAAACTGAGTAGGGTCCTGTTGATTCTTCTTTTGACCAGGAAAGCATCATATATTTGTTGACACATATTTGAGACAATTTGTTTGAAGTAATACTGGAAATAGTTTGATTTTGACAAAGTCAGATTCATTTTCACACTTGTACGTTTCCATATTGATTCCATCTATAAAATCATAACCATTCCGTTTTGTAATGTTTTAACAGAAGCATACTTTTTATGTACCTCATAGTAGTCATGTAAATAAGGTTCTGGCTTGAGAATTAACTCATCATGTGCCTCTGGTTTTAACCTAGCTCTAGTCTTTATTATTCAACATAATAATTACAAAGTTAGTATCTCATTACTGAATATACACATTATGCATTTACTAATTTTTAGCCATTAATTCAACTAATACTTAAAATCTTACTTTGTGCTAGGCCCTGGTAATATAAAATGAATGAATGGCAAATAATTTTTCCAAGAGGAGTTTGTAATCTATCCATAGAGACATACTTGTAACCAATTATTTATAAAGTACTGTGCTAAGTGCTATAATAGAAGTCCATTCAAAGCCTTTGGGGATCTGAAGGAGAGAGTAGGTGTGTCATTGTGGGGAGGACGGAGCTTAAAGACTGGTTGGGCAGGTTTGACAAGAGGGGTGTAATGTGAGTTCAGTCTTGAAAGAGATAAGAAAGCTATTCTAGGCCAATAGAACAATATGGACCAAAGCAAAGTATCTTCATGAGCCTGGAACTTTCTAAAAACAGCAAATGGCCAAATGCAAATTACAACAGTATCAACGTTATCTGGAATTTTGGTCTGATTCTTACAAGCAATGGGAGCCTTAACAAGCAGTCTAATAAAGGAACACTCATGATCAAATTTATGTTTTTAAAATGCAGTCTTAGAGGCAGATGAAGATGAAAAATTAGAGGGAGCAGAGACTAGAAGGGAGTTATTGCTGTGGTCCAAGAAAGAAATGATGGATGCTTCAACTAAAGCCGCAATCGAAGTAAAAGGGGAGGGGGGTATATTGATAAAAGAGATGTTTTGGAGAGACAGAGAGCCGCTCAAATATCTGGCGTGCAGAGGCTGGTCATGAGGTTAATGAATGGATGGAGCAGGTGGGGTGTCTGGGACAGGTGTCTGTGCAGCACAGGGAGCAGTAGAAGCACTTGGACATGTCCAGTTTAGGGTCCCTGCAGGACAGACTCCGTTCTGGAGCTTCTAAATTTATCATATGCAAATTTAAGCTGCTAAGGTAAGAAAAAGAAAGAATACTTTATTCTTTCTTCTGTCTACTGTGATGACCAATAGCAGAGGAGGAGATTACACACTGCAACTCCCAAAACCTTGGAAAAAACAAGGAATCTTCAGAAGTGCACAGGTTTGACTTACGTGTGCTTTGGTGGGGGCCCTGACTGCTACTTGCCTTTCTCTGGAGGGTTGATCACATGTCATTGGCCTGAAGCCATTCCACTGTTAGGACCATTAATTAATGGGGTTGGGAGTAGAGATGGTGAAGGTCACAGGTTCCATTTTCATACGCAGGCCAGTCATAATCAATAGCCCTCATAGACTCAATATGCAACCTCATAACATATGCTATGCATGGATGGATGAATCCGGTCATGGAAGTAACAACCAAACCCAGACATCAATAGTCCACTCAGTGAACATGACCTACCAGTGTAAGTGGTGATACCAAGAGAGGGCACAGTCATTCACCACCAAACTCTGCGCGCTCGGCATTTCAGAGCTGACCTAGAGCTCAGCAGGGAAAACAGAGCTGGGTACACAGCTCTCGCATTACAGAAGAAAGGCTGAATGAGGATATACACGTTCTTAAAGCCTGCAGGGAGGAAGTGGTGAGCAGAGAAGATACCCACACCCTACCCCTCTGATGAAGAGGTGAAAATTTTACTCCAAAGTAGGTGAAAACAATTTAAAAGAGGCGTTCCAGTTCAGTTTGCAATATCAGTGACAGGGTCATGGGGAGCTTTTACGCAGAAGATGTGCTGTCAGAACTCAGGCACAGCTCTGCTCTCCCACCTTCAGTGGGCCCCAGACACACTGCAGTATTTCCAAGCACTGCAGCTGGGGCAGGGCGGGTCTGTGCCTTTCCACAGAGATTCCTGTCTCTCAGTCACACACCGGGTCCGCGTGAGAGCTCTGAAAGGTAAACAGGCCTGGAGAGCCAAAAGCAAGGCTTGGAGCAAAGAGAAAAGGAAACAACAAATTTGCTGTGCCACACACACAGCCCTTCCCCCTGAACTCAGGCAGCTGCACCTGTGGTCGGTCTGGGCCGCAGTCTGCTGCTGAAGCCTCAGCCCAGAACAAACCGACCTTAGGAGCCATGATCCCGTAGCACATGCTAAAGGCCACACTACATTTCTTTACAATTTCTAAGACATTGGAAGGATTAGATGACAATTTAATTCATAAGTATGTGTCCCAAGAAAAAGACAATGATATATACATCTTTAACGTGAGAGATGTTTATTCATAAGCAGGCTGCAGATCAGTCTTGCCCCTCCCACCTCCCCATGCAGGCTTCCTGTCTGCACCATCATTCCCCACAGGGAAGAACATTGGCAACATTTCGAAGTGTCCACTTCTGGCCCGAAGGATGAAATCAGGGCCTGTTGAGTAACACTCGTTTTTATTCTATCATTGATTCGATGTAGCAACTTCCCTCCTGTCTCTCGGTCTTCTTACTAACAACAGAGAGCAGAGCCGTCTGCCCACCTGCTGCCCCCTAGTGCCGTCATGAAAACGGGCCTTGAACCATCGCTGGGGCAGTTTCTGTAAGGAAGGAATTGTAGGAAAATGTGACACACGCTCCCTGTCCTCCGGGAACTTCCATCTGGCTCCGGAAGCAAGATGCACAGGAACTGGACAGCACAGCAAGAATCGTCATGAATTGGTTATGGAAACAATGGAGGACAGTTCTAGATTCAACTCTTGGCTCAGAACCTGATTCAATTTAGAAAAAATGCTGCTGTCAAAGCCTCGCCATAATATCCTTATTACTCAATTACGGATTGATTTTGTAGATTAGAGTTTTTCCAAATGACCCAACCTAAGTAGAATTCTGGCCTTATGCCTCAATACTTTTTTGAAAAGCAATCTCTTTTTATTGACTCTTTGTTGTTCATTATAACATTAAATACCCTGATAATGGAGGTATTTTTCCATTAGGACTCAAGCAAACTGTTTTCCCAGGAAAGTCAGAATGAATACAATACAGTAATTCTGGGTTACTGTTGCCAGGGGCTGGATAAAATTTAATGACCTAGGCATGGAGCAAACTAAAAAGCCGGCACCAATTAATTTCCAGAGCTCTCCAAAGTACTTTCCCTAATACGTGAAATTTATCACAAGCAAATAACTCCCTTCTTTTTTTTTTAATTTAAAATAATGCAGGAAGACATTATATTTGCTGTTCATGATTTCTAACCCCACAGTATCCTTTTGCTTATGGAACTGTTTTCTACTCTCATTGACAAGAATCATCATGCTCAGAGAAAAAAAAATGTCATCATTTAAAACTTGAAGAAAGAACAAATAGCAATAAATGTGCCAATTTATTTGTCTATCACTATCCCTGTGGGGAGGATAAACCTATAGTGCTTCAGATCAATTGTTCCTCTTCTCTGGGGCTGTGCTGCGGGGATTGGGGTCTGTCTGCGGGAGGGCAGCCAGTGGGAGCGCTGAGGACGGCCCCCCTCCGGGCCCACATCTCCTGCGGGTGGAGCTCAGGGCTCCCCCTGCAGGGAGGCCTCATAACTCCCATCTACCCTCGAAACCTATCCGTGTACTTGTGTACTTGAAGGGCAAGTCACCCATTTTACAAGGCAAGGCCAGAAAGGTGAGGTTCCTGGTCTCCTCACTTAGTCCAGCCAGTTACCTGGGCAAGGACTTTGTAACCCGCAGACCTGGGTGCAGATCCAGCTCCAGGCCCGTGTGACCTCAACCTCTCTTCCGTCATCTGTAGAGCGAGTCACATACTTATCCCTGCACGGGTCAGTTCGAAAGCTGAAGTAAATGTAGGTAACCGGACCTGACCCAGTTCCGGGTCTAGGACAGAGCAAGTGCCATAGATGTTCCTCAAATGCCCCTTTCCCCTGTCCAGACCCTGCCCCTCACCAGACCTCCTGCAGCAGCGCCTTCACTGCCTGACCCAGGGCCCCTCCTTCCCTTGCACGTTCTGGTGTTGACTATGTTCTGTTTTTATAAGAAATCTGTGATAAATACTTGAATAGATGGTCCAGTGGTACGGCTCGGTTCTGTTCCCGGTTCAGTTCCCAGTGAGGGCACATGCCCAGGTTGTGGGCTCGATCCCCAGTGGGGGGCGTGCAGGAGGCGGCCGATGGATGTGTCCCTCTCACCTGGATACATGAACGAGGTTGGGTTGCGTTGCTGAGTCGCTGCCTCGCTCAGGAGCGGGCGGCTGTGCCATCCTGACTGTCCCCATCTCTTGCAGAGGCCTTCCTGACCAACCGCACAGACACCATCACGGTGGAGGAGGGCCAGGCGGTCACCCTCCACTGCGCCGTGCCTCAGCCCGCCCCCCTGCAGTGGCTGGCCCCGTCGGGGTACACCATCTTCTTAAACGGGCATCCTGGTAAGTGAAAGAAAAAAATTGCCACCAGACATCAACCTGAGGGGTTTTCCAGACAGAGAAGTGGGTGGGACAAAAAGCCAGCATGAGTCACCGAAGGTGGGCTTAGCTCCTCCTGCTGTCCGTGTGAATCATACCCAGAGCCTGTTATTTGCACCTGGCTGCGTTGTTCACAGGAAGTCTGAAATGGAAACCACAGCGGTTAGTCAAGGGGAGCAAAAGAAAAAGCGCATTTTCGTGCCCCTCTCGCGCCCTCGCCCCATGGGCATTCGAGTCTCGGTGACCACGAACAAGCAGCAGCAGTGACAGAGGTCCCGCCCGCTGAGGGCCCCTGTGCTCGGCAGCCAGCGGCTCCGTGTCCGTGTGAGCAAGCCAGTCACCGCTCTGCTGCCTCCAGACACCCCTCCTCTCCGGTCAGCCTGCCCGTGAGCTCCGGACAGCCAAGCAGTGGGACTGACAGGACACTCTGCCTGAAGAGGAGGCGGCCACTCCTCCGTGCGCAGCCCGCCCGAACCGGGTCCTCGCGCCTGACACGGAAAGACAGTCCTTTCTCAGTGTCATAAAGATGCTATTGACATATAACTTATTAGTCTCAAGTGTACACCATAATGGTTGGACATTTGCATATATTCGAAATGAACCCCACAGTAACAGCCATCACCTTGCATAGTTACACTTTTTCCCGCAGGATTTTGTCGTTGTTGTTAATCCTCACCGGAGGATACTTTTTCCACTGATTTTTAGAGAGAGTGGAAGGTTGGGAAAGAGGGAGAGAGAGAGAGAGAGACATCAATGTGAAAGAGATACATTGATCGGTTGCCTCCCCCATGTGCCCAGCTGAACCTGAAACGCAAGTACTTGTCCTTGACAAGAAATCGAACCCATGACCCTTTTGTCCTCGGGCCCACACTCTAACCACTGAGCATACCAGCCAGGGTGCTTGCAGGATTCTTAAAAGCCTATGTAGTTCATCTCTAAACAGAATTTTATTAGGCCCTCCCCTTCAAAAGGAGGTCATTTTATATCTCCACTCAGTACTTCCAACCACCACATACTCGGGAAGTCTTCAGTGCAGCAAATTTCCCTCTGCTTTTAAAAAGCAGAGCCTCTAAAAAATGTAATATGCTTTGAAAACATTATTAAGTACTGATATATTAGATGTAAAATAATACAACTATTTCAAGCTAAATTAACTATTAAGACTAGATTCCAACAGAATAAATGAATACTAATTGTTAAAAGTTCTGAAGAAAAACGTTACATGTAATGCTTTCTGTTGCTTTGCTTTGTTTGGGGTGGTTTTGAACTTGAAGGTGGTGGACATTATCACATGTTTGTAGCAGAATGCCTGGCTGAGCTTGGTGGTTCCCACCAGGGGCCGTGTTTGCCCCCAGGGGTCAGCTACAAGGTCGGCGCACACTGTGTTGCTGTAACTAGAGAAAGGTGGGGGGGGGGGGTTCTGGTACCTGGTGAGCAGAGAGCTCAGGGATGCAGCTGAACCTCCCACAGTGCACAGAACAGCCCCCCAGACAAAGACTCGAATGTCAACAGTGTCAAGGCTGAGAATTCCCACATTCTAGTTCATGTAACATCCAGACGAGAAGGACCTTCCTTGGTCAGCCATTCAGGGTTTAACTGTTTTAGGCTTGTTCACATTATACATTTTAACAGAAAAGAAGAAAGGAAAGGAAGGGAGGAAGAGAGAGGGAACGGCGCGAGGGAGGAAGACAGAACTACCCATTTCGGGAGCCTCGGGTTAGCTCAGGGACCTCTGACTTGAGATGACTTCCCAGGTCAGTGCAGAATCGACAGGAACACTGGCTGTGGGCTGGACCTTGTCTTTCTGATTCCCCGCTGGCTGACCATCATCTTGGGGAACTCCACATAATAATGAACTTTCAAAAGTTTAAAATAAAAAGCACCCAGCGAGAGCAATGAGTACCAATACACTTATTTTCCATTCTTCATAGTCATTGTGACAAGACCACATCAGATAAATCAGACTTTTAAAAGCGAAATAAAAGTGGGGCACTTTTCAAAATATGAAAAAAAAATTCTTTAACATTTGTCTTCCACTGGAACCCTCCACCAGCATAATGTTCTTAACATCCTCCGAACACAAATCAAGGAACTGGTTTATTTCACAGGTATCAGCCTCAGAATAATATATTTCCTAAATGAACTTCAAGCTGTCGAGAGGCATCCAGCTGGTAAGACTAGAATTTATAAGTCAACTCAATCAAAGATGTGCTATTTGTTCCTTTAAAGTGTGAACATCCAGGGCTATTCCTGGGAATAATCCATCCACTGAGTCTATTCATCTGATACCTTCTTGGTGACAGCTCTTCCTCCCCTCCCACACAGCTTTAAAAAACACCAAATACCAGCTTCTTCACCACTCCCCACGCCAGCTCTCCGTCCGCGTGGCCAACGTAACCCCGGGAGACGAGGGTGTGTACACGTGTCTACATTACGGCAGCTCCGTGGGAACAAAGGACGTGCAGGTGGTTGTGCTGGGTAAGCGCCTCGAAGCCTGCTCACCCAGGAGGAGAGCTGCTTAGGGCAGTCTGCATCCTTCTAAACTTGACCTCCTAGCTTTCACCTGGGCGCCCCTGCCCCTTTGTTTAGAGGAAGCGGGAAGGAGCATGGTGAGTTGCAAGCCCTAGATTAAAATGTGAACTCAGGAAATTCATCTCTGGCATAAACTAAAGTTTCTCTCTGGGGAACTGACAAAGGAGAAGTAATATTCGGTGGCCTGTGACTATGCCCAGGCCCTGTGCTGGGCTCTAGGGAAACAGAGAGGAATCAGGCACAATGTCTGCCCACGAGGGGTCCGCACACTATTGGGAAGGCAAAGCCCACGTGGAGATGAAGTGGGACATAGGGTAGCAATTCCTACGGCAGAACGAATGCACGTAGCCGCACTGAAAAGTCAGCTCACAGCCTCTGCCTAAACACTGTCCCCTTGTGTTGGGGGTGGGGACCCGGGAGGAAGAGAGCCTCCTGATGGGCTGGGACTTGCTCAGTTCTGTGGAGGACAAGCTTCCTTCAGCTGGAGACTTACTTTCTTTACGTTTCTCTTTCTGTGGCAGAACAACTCAATTAAAAACGTAATTGCACATCCACACGGGTGGATGTCTTAAACTTCTCTCATCGAGGTACATAGTGTGGTGCCTGCCGTAAGCACTGGCCCAGTGACAGACACAGGACAGGAGCGGCTCCTGGGGGTCTGAGAACCAGTGTGACCCAGCTCAGGGCTGTCCTTCTCCGAGCTACGGGCCACCCCAACCGCTCTCTGGCTCAGGCTGGGGGGCCCTCTGGGCAACCCTAACGTCCATGCACACCTCCATCCCTGCACCTGAGCACATAGTCTTTGTGAACAGTTCAGGGGCTGAGTCTGTCACCAGACTGCTCGTCCTCAAAGGGCCTCCTCTCCTCCATGTCTGTACGCCAGCATCTAGCTGTATGTGGAGCTGGCTTCACGGGGCTGCATGGCAGGGGATGAGCGAATAAATGTGGACGAGTGCAGGTCTGGACCAACGTGGAAGGTATTTCCAAGACAGGTGTGGGAAGAAAAGGGATCAACGAACCCTTTATAAGACACATGCATCTTTGATGTTGGGGGAGGATAGAAGTAACTTCCCTTGAAGTGAATCATAGGCTCGGGAAGTTTGGAGCTGAGACAACCAACTCATAAATCAATTTCTTCATGTCACAGACAAGGAAACTGGTAAACCAAGAAACAGGAGGACTAACCCACGTTCTTACAACTAGTTGGTGCCAAAGGTGGAGCCTGAGTCTAGCTAGTGTTCAACCAATCAAAGTACAGTCATACGGCAAATGTAAAAATTGCTTTTGTGACAGTCAGTTTGGGAACCTTCAGGGCCTAAGCACACACTGGGTGACGAGCATTCTGACTGCACCAAAGTAGCTTTACAGTCCATAAAAGCCCGTTAACTCTGTTCTGGGAAAGGCCAAGTAGAAACATATGCTCATGATTTAGACCTTACCCTACAAGGATCCCTGCAGATCAGTAGGCTCTGGCTTTGCTGAGATATGCAGACGAGCTAATTAAACACAGAAAAATCTGTGTGTTTTCTAGCAACTCCTTCCAAGTCAACCCTGGAAGCTTCAGTCATCAGAATGCAAAACGGAGAAGAACATGTTATCCTTAAATGCTCCACCATGAGAAGCAAGCCCCCTCCGCAGATAACCTGGCTGTTAGGGGAGGACATAGAGGTGTACGGTGAGTGGAGAAACGGTTCTTTCCTCCTTTGTTTTCCTTCCTAAATTTCCAAGGGATTTTTTAAATGTTCTGGCGCCCTCTGGTGGTAGTAGGTGCCAGAAGACACCATTCAATAATTATCAGATCTTTTCCAGACAAATTATCCTTATAACCAATCAATATTACATCTTAGTCTTGCAAGGCTAATCACAAATAACATGATTACATGTTTTGGGTAAAACAAGGTAGAAATATGAAATGTAATGTTTATTATAGCACCTTAAAATTTGACAAATCTTTATAAAATAAAAACAAAACACAGCTATTACCTCAGCATAAACTTTTTAGTAGGCGTAAAATTAAAATACATTTAACATAAGACATGCTCATCCTTATATAGTGTAGTGCCATGTCATACCTCAATGACAGATTTTTAAAAATGGTAACAAAGAATCTAAACTTTGAGCCATTTGAAGTAGATAACTAATTGTCATGCTTAGAAACTATTTCTAGTTTGTTTACACTTCAACAAACATTACATTTGACTTTACATAGTCATAGTTTCTTAGAGCTGGGAGGGCCCTTGGCTGTTGAGGACCAAGGGTCGAATGGAATTCTAGAGAGACCTAGAGCGCAGATCCGATTCCCAGTCAGGGCCAAATGAGCAGCATTCAATGATCTCTCCTTTAATTTGCCTTATTTATTAAGTCAGAGCAGTCTTGTGGCCTTGTATTTCACAGTAATGCCAGGCTGTCCTTCTCACATACCACTGCAAGCTTTGGATTTTTTTCCAGTAATGACAGGCTTACAGAACCCTATCCACTCTGCTCACCTGCTTCCCTTTGTGACTAGGGCCAAGCAAACACCAGGCAGCTGTGGTTAGAATGAGGCTAGAAGTCTACCGGGCTTGCCAAGACGTCAAGGCCCCCGATTCCTGAGAGGACCAAACCCGTCCAATATCATTAAATGGCCACAACCTCACACGCCCCTTTAACTTGCCCCGCAGGTGAAACCTACCATGAATTTGATAGTGATGGGAAGAAATGTAACAGCAGCAGCACCCTCAGGGTCCGGGCACACGACAGAAACTCGACAGTGGACTGCATTGTCCGGCACGAAGGCCTCCAGGGTAGGAAACTGGTAGCATCCTTCCGGTTCGAAGACTTGGGTAAGAACTAGTGATGTCTACAATCATGTTTTGTTTTCCTCAGTGTTACACTATCAAACATTAAACGGAGTGGGAAACGCCTTTCAGAGTGAGATTACTGTCAACAAGGCTCTCCTTAGTAGGACATTCTTTCAGTGACTGAAATCTCTCCGCCGGGGCAGTAGGGCAGCAACCGTTCCCGCATTCGAATTCGGAACAGCGCTGGTTGCGCACAGAGAGCCTGGCACAGTGCCGCATGCAGATGGGTCGTGCTTGCTTTGTGATGACAGCAGCACAGCCGGACCTTGCCTCACTTTAGGGCGGTCATGCTTTCAGAGGGGTCATGTGACTCACACAGCATGTCTGCATGAGTCACTATTAACTCACATACATCTAAACTTCTGTACCGTTCACATACATCTGTACCGTTGTCTAGGAACATAAAGTACTCACTCGGTGACATTACGTCATGAATATTTTGTAGATATATTTTGTTAAAACTGTTTAACCATGTTAATATTCTGAGCAAAACACAATATAACAATAAAAACGAACAAAACATCAAATATTAAATGTGAAGAGTTGCTTCAGTTTCCAGAATCTCAACTCTGACTCCTTCACCATAAGTGAAAGAAATCACTTTCAAACTACCTGACACTGAGTCAGGGAGCACCCTACAAGGAGCAGCCTGAGCCGCGCCTCTGTGCGGACGGGGCTCTGGCCTGCGCTGTCTTATAAGGGGTCCATTTCTCCGTGGAGACATCCTGAGGTGCGAGGATCCACTCACACTGGTGAGGGAGGAACCTGCTGGATGACATGCATTTGTTGGGAGAGCTTTTACCAAAGGAAATTATTGATCATGAAAGGCATTTGTTCAAGAGAATGTCTCTGTGGGGAGCCTGCGGGCCCAGCCCTGGGGCGCCCTTCTGGAGAATAGGTCCCTACTCCCTGCCCTGCTTTCTCCTGGTTTCTCACCAAAACAAAAGTGATGCCTGAGGCAGCACATCTGGACTCTGAAGGAGGCTGGGCGGTGCCACCTGACGTTCGCCTCCCAGCCTGCCCCTCCAGTGGACGGAGCACGGGGCAGGCGGGGTATGGGAGGGCACTGAGCAGAGATGAGACTGTTCATCTCAGGCTCCTGAAAGACATTCAGGTCCTTACAGCAGAGACCCAACCACATCGGAACCACATCTGGGAGGTCTGAAAAGAGACGTGGAGAGGACAGAGAGGATCTTCCAAGTCACTTACTTCATCTTCTTAGTATCCCGGTAAGGGATCTGGATGTCCTATACTTCAAATATGAAGATGGGACAAAAACTGAGTGAGCGACTGTGGAACTAAATTTTAACATTATTTAATCTTTATTAATTTTAATTTAAATAGCCATTCTTGCTATTGAATAGCAGAGAGTTGTGACAATCTGACCAACTAGATAAATCATAATGGGCCGGTATCCACCTAATCAAAACACATCTAAATGAGTCTATCTAGCTCGGCTGGGGTGGCTCAGTGGTTGAGCATCAACCCATGCATCAAGAGGTCTCCGGTTCGATTCCTGGTCAGGGCACACGCCTAGGTTGTGGGCCTGATCCCCTGTGGGGGGCATGCAGGAGGCGGCCAATAGATATTCTCTCATCAATGTTTCTATCTCCTCTCTTCTTCTCTCTCTCAAATCAATTTTAAAAAATTAAAATAAATAAATCTATCTAGCAGCTTGTCAACTGGGAGGGTAAATCAGAGTAAATACAAACTCTAGCTTTATATCTATATACTCTAGTTTATATATATTTATGTATAAAACAGGTTTTATATATACATAGATATGTTATAACGTACAAAATATATATAATTAAATATACTGTATGTGTATGCATGTATGGTTTTATATATTATATATACAAGATATATAATTACATATGTGCATAACCTGTTTTGTATATAAATATATAATTATCTAAATGTACAAAGTATATATTATTCTAGATGTCAATCATTTGTAAGTTTATTCTGTGTCCCAGTATTTCTCATATTATGCTCTTCTTGGCATTTGCTTCTAGTACTTCTAGTTGCCTCACTTTCAAGCATTTTCCGCTTTTCTTTGCCCATAACTCTCCTCTTTCTTCAGTTTTCCCTGGCGTCTGGCCACCGGGTTCCCTTCAGCCTTACAGTCTGCATCACCGCTTCTCTGATGTCTCCTTAGTGCTGCTTCTTCCTTTCTCAGAGCTCTTGCAATTCTGGCTTTTTATAGTTTTCAAAGGTTTTAATGTTTGAGTAAGACAAAAGTTAAAAACTACAGAAATTCTTTGATTAAATAAAAAGCTGAGAAGTACTCAGAGATTTTATAAAGACATTGCCCACCTGTTACATATCAGTGTCAATATTTGCAAAATAACAGATACCATTTTTATGGGCTGCTTGGTTGCAGGCCTGTTCGTAGACCGCTCACATCTATGCTGAGCTGAACCTCTGGCAGCATTTCTACCTATTGTTTCATACTATACAATAGCATTTAGTGAGCACTGTGCTCAATAAATAGCCAAGCATTGTGCTAAACGGGTTGTATGAAAGAACTCATTAATTCTCACAGAAAAACTCCACAAGGTGAATGCTGTAGGTGTGTCCATAGCACAGATATTGAAAACCGAGCGTTCAGAAGATGAAGCGTCTTGTTCAGAAGCAAGTAACAGCACTGGATTCACCCAGCCTGAGTCCGACCCCAAAGCCATCGAGCGAACAAGCAGTTAGATATGTGGATGGGTAGATGAGAGACAGAAGGGGGAGCCGCCCGTGGACACCCTTTGCCTCGGAAGGCCAAACGCACCGCTCGGCAGAGGCCCGTGTGCTGGCCTAAGCCCGGCAGCTTAGCAGATGGGCACCCAGCGGGACGCATGTCCGCAGACCAGCCCCAGCGCCACAGGACGCACAGCTCTGGGTTCCGCACAACCTCCACGAGCAGGTGGCAGCCGGACACACTCTCCACCGATCGTACTGCACGCGATGTGGGCAAAACTGTTCTCCGTGGTCGCAGAATTTTGTTTTTCCCCTTTTCTAGTTCCTGACCCGAAGCCAGCCTCAGATGCCCTGGGGAAGAACCCTCCGACCTCTCAAGACTTCCCGCAGCCCACGGGTAATGGTAAGTGTCGAAATCATTCAAACTTTTTAAAAAAATCATGCCTCTTTGGAAAGTCCGTTTCCTAATTCTAAGTTTTAAGAACATTTTTCCTTTTGATCTGTAACAAGACCAGGCACGACTCCCACCAGCTTTGTGGTGGCCTGGAGCAGAGCCAGCTAACCAGCTGGAGGGTCCAGAAGTAACTGCCACCTTGTAAGCTTGCTCTCCACACACACACACACACACACACACACACACACACTTGTGACATTTGCATTTCCACTGTGGTAAAGGGCAAGGTAGAATTCAATTATGGGGAGACTCATTTCTCTGTTTTTCCATCTAGAATAGACCAAACACAATGCAAAGACTTGGTATCAGCAAAGAGCAAAGAAGCAGGATCTAGAGATTTGGTGGTTTGAGGCGCGTCAGTGAGCCCGTTGTCAGGAACTCAGATAGTTTTGGATGACAGCATTGAACTACAAACACAGAGGAGCTGAGAAAGCCTACATTATAACTCCAGTTTCTTAGACAGTGAACCCACTACATGGTTAACTCTGGGCAATGTTCATGTATTTCATTGATATTTGTATTTTACTTAGCATGGTACCTGGTAACAGCCAGTACTCAGAAAGTGTAGCATCAACGACAGAATGGATGGGTGTGCGGCTGTTATGACGCTCTGAGTGACAGTCAGTTCATCCAGAAAGGCCCGGGTCCCTAGCTGGCCTCCTTCTGTTCTGGCGAGTGTCGCTGTAACAATGTGGGATGTGTTTTCATCACCAGGTCCATAGTTCTGAGGATCAGGTCACATTTACATTTTTGCCTTGAATACTATTTACAAGTAAATGTTTGGGGGTTTTAAAAACTGATAAATACAGTATCTACCATATAGTTTTCTGCAGGAAAATAGAAATTGAAGATATTATGAAGTGCAGCAGCCACATTACGTGCGTTAATAATCCAATATTTTTACAAATGTTTAGAATCTATTTGTCTTTAAATTGGCTTACACCACTACTAAACAACTCAATTTTCTGCCCTGCTTTTTCAGATATAACATAAGAGTTTAAAAATTTGATTCCAGAATTCCTTTCAGCTTTCGTTTCTACAGTTCTATTACTGTTAACAATCCCATTTTCAGTAGAAGAAAGGATGGCTTCGTTCCCCTTGTGTAATGGACTAAAAAGCAAGAGACTGCAATGGGAAAAACAGGGAGCATAAACAACAAAATCAGAAAAATATTTTTTAAATTTTTATAAGTTGTCTTTCCTAGCAAAAGCGTCGTAGTCCGTCCACGCCTGAGGTGGGCACAAGGATCGGTTTGAGTGACAGCTGAGCCTGCTCTTCAGCATGAAATCATTGCTTTGTGGGTTTCAGGCCGTAGACTTTCTATCCATGAAGCTCAGATGTCATTCTTTACTGTTCAGATGTTATCCTGAAGCATCCTAAGGACCTTCTCAGGAAGGCAGTACAAAATAATGTTTTAATTGGGGGTTCTGAGTTTCAACATTGGCCCTGCCCCTGATTTGCAGCAGGACTTTAGATGATTTACTCAACTTCTCTAAAACTGTTTGCTCAGAGCTGTGGTGAAAAGTGACATACACCAAACGCTCAGTGGAAGGACTGGCACAAAGTAGATGTTCAATAAACATTTACCTTAAAAACTAAGGCACAGCAAGCCAGACCATTTGCAACTATTTCTGAAAGAAGTCAGTAATTCAAAATCGACCTCGTTGCTGTTTTTCAGCGAGCATCGCTTGACTTGGTCTCCAGAGCGGCTGTGCTGCCCTCAGGTGGCCACGTGTGGGTACATACACGGTACACTCAGTCCTGACATATGTCCTGTGTTTCTTTCACCTTAGTCACAGTAACGGAAGATCTCAGTACATCAGAGACTGACAAGGAAGAGGAAGAACAAACCACCCAAGACCCCGACTTGATCACTGGTAAGTGTCCCCCACCTCATTTAGAATAAACACTTGACATTTTAATCTCTTAATCAGTAAATAGTTCCTTTCAGTCCTCATCTTTCCTGACCTTTCTGTTGGTAAACCGCTCCCTCGCTCCTTGGCTTACTGCCTGCGTGGTTTCTGTGTCATCCTCTGCCTGGTCCTGTCACTTTGCTACTGCTCCTCTGTGTCCGCTCGCGCACTGCCCTCCCTCCTGGCGGTTCGCGCATAGATGTGCTTCTGATTTTATTTCCCTCTCCTTGGTTCGTCCTTAATTCTTAAGGAGTTTACCCATTCCCAAGACTGTCCCTGTTGCCACCAGGCAGATTTCATGCCTGTATCTCCAGACATTCTCCTGAGCTTTAGCCCCAGTGTCATTCCATTTTCTACATAGCTGTAACCGCATGTTCCTACATAGCTGTAACCGCATGTTCCTACATAGCTGTAACCGCATGTTCCTACATAGCTGTAACCGCATGTTCCTACATAACTCTAACTAAATGTTTGCCATGTCCTCAAACTCAACAGTGCTAGAAACTGAACAGCATCTTGTTTTATAAAATCAGCTGGTCTAAAGTGTCATGCATGCCCAAGCCTGGTGTCCTTCTTCACTGCTGTCTGTGCGCACATGTGTATGTGCACATGTGTGCTATGTGTGCACGTGTGTGTGCATGTGTGTGTGTTTGCATATGCTCATGCATTGAAATCAGTTTCCAAGGACTTCTGAGTCTTTTCTTTCAGGTATTTTGTCCACTCTCAGGGCCAACACCTTGACCAGACCCTCATCCTCTCTTGCATGCAGTACTGTAACTTCAGTTACTCCTTTAGTAATCCATTTTAGCACCTCCTTATTCAAACACCCTTTTGCATATTTTACACCTGTGTTCAGAAAACCTCTGTGGCTTCCCATAGTCTACAATGCAGAGCATGAGCCTAAACCCCAGCCCCCCGCACCCCATACAGTGCCCTCTGCCACCTCCTGCAGTTCTGTCTCTGTAAAGTCCTGACAAGAATATCTTCCCTGAAAACATCATCTCACGTTGCTTGCCCGCCCTCCTTTACCCTAACCTGCCCTGATGAAAGGAAAACCTCCTCACTCCTCCTAACCTTTCCCACGTCGAATCTTCACTGAGAGCTGCCTGACCAAGCCAGGGCGACCCTGCCTCTGAATCCCTGCACACGGCGTTGTGTTAACTCCTGTGTATCTAGAACTTGGCATAGACAACTTACTTCTATTTGTTTTCATTAAGCAACTTGTTTACACATGTAAAGAACTATCCCCAAACAACAGGGACCGTGTGTTATGCAGGCCCAAGCGTGATGTTCTACACGCAGTTGGCACTTCTTAGTTGCTTGTTGGTTGAGCTGAAGGAACCAGGACATTCAGCAAAGCTAGATCCCATGGAATCAGAATTCTAGGTTTAGAAAGACCTTTACCAGCTCATTTATTTCCAAATACCTTCATGTAAGAATATATTTTGACCTAGCCAAGATCAATATTCATTTTATTTGCATAGTTTTTCAAACTCTTAACAACCTCTCTTGCTAAAAAAAAAAAAAAAAAAAAGTATTTCTTACAGCTAATTTGAATCCCCTGACTATAATTTAAGTCAGTATTATCACGTTTTCTTTAGAAATGAAACATAACTATATACGTTAAAACTGTTTTTCAAATCACCTCACAGAATTGCGTTGACTGTATTCTTGTTTTCAGAGAGTAAACAGTGTGAACCTTTCTGCCGTCAGGGTACAGCTCTCCTCTGCCTCTGCCTCTGAGTGTTAGCCTACACTCCCTTTTGGGGGTGTGCATACTCCTCAGCGAGCAAAGCCCTCACACGATCTAAAATCCTTTCGTTTTCCCCACAGGCGCAAGTCCTCGGCACGAAGGGCTGGTGAGGAAGAAAAGTGGCGTACTGCTCCTCACTCTCGTGTGCTTCCTCATTTTCATACTCTTCATCATCGTCCAGCTCTTCATAATGAAGCTTCGAAAAGCACATGTGATATGGAAAAAAGGTGAGGAGGCAGAGAACCTGGTGGAGGCTACAAGAGGGTGAAACAATTGGCTGGCAAAAGGGAATTCTGTCAATTACAGGTTTTCTCTTAGATGATGTACCAATCTGTTTGATCCGCACTGTCACTTAAATAAACAACCATTTTACAGTAGACAAGAACATGGATCTCCAGGAACTATAGCAAAAGAGTGCAGAACTGACAGAAACTAGAGCAGTTCCAGGAGTGAAATTATATTACCGAAGCCTCTGTTCACAAAAGGATACAAAATAGCTCATTAATTCATCCATCCATCCATCCATCCATGCATCCATGTATGCATGCATCTATGCATGCATCCATATATCCATGCAATGAGCATTCACTGAGCAGATATTGTGTGCCATGCTCTCTTCCAGGCACTGGGGATACATCTGTCAATTAGACAAACCAGGCCCCTAATCTCAAAAAGTTCTTATTCTATAAGTGGTCAATCAAAGGTTGAATATAATAGACTGATTTTGTCCCATTTTTACTTTCAAAAAATGCACTCAACTCCCTCAACCCTAATATGTTAGTATTTTTTTCCTAAGCATTCTGATTAAAATGTTATTATTGGAAACAAAAAATATATATAACTAGCGTAGAAAATACCTATTAAAATACACAGACTCAACATCTATCAGAGCTACAAAGGACCTTAGAAGTTATCCAGAATAACCCATCTCCTCATTCATTTCATAAATGTGTGTCAGGACTATATCCCTTCTTGAATTCTGGGCAATTATTTAGTCCTGTGCCATCCAACACAGTAGCCACAACATGGCTACTGAGCACTTGACATGTGGCTGGTCCCTCCTGAGATGTGCTGTAAGGATAGTACACACACCCCATTCTGAAGACTCAGTACACACACACACACACACAAGACTGTAACATATCTAACAATGCTTTGGGTCTACTAGTTAAATGAAATATACTACTAACTTAATTTCACTTTCTTTGCTTTACTCTTGAGCATGGCTGCTTGAGAGTTTAAACTTACACGTGGGACTTGCATGTAGTGCTGTGGGACAGCTGGTAGAGCCACACGTGGCTCAGCACCTCCAGTGACAGAGAACTCACTATGTCTCAAGGCAAAATACTGCACCTTTGAATACTCTGCCCCTCTGAAAACTACCACTGCTGCCCTGGCCAGTTTGTCTCAGTGGTTAGAATGTCGGCCCAAGGACCAAAGGGTTGTGGGTTCGATTCCCGGTCAAGGGCACGTACTGGGTTTGGTCCCCAGCCCTGATCGGGGTTGTGCAGGAGGCAACCAATCAATGTGTCTCACATTGATGTCTCTCTCTCTCTCCCTCAACGCCTCCCTCCCTCTGTCTAAAAATCAGTGGAAAATATTCTTGAGTGAGGATTAACCAAAAAAATGTACCACTTCTCTGAGTGTAAGGTCACTGTCTCCAGATGTGCAGATGGACTGACATGCGCATGATGAGCAGACTTAGCAGCAGGGTCTGGCTTTTCCAGGTGCCACCCAATAGGAAATGCCTTAGTATTGTTCCAAAACCTCCATGAATGCTTCTTCCCCACAGTGTTTAAGGGCTATTGAAATCGTTCCTTCCCGAAGGACACTGTCTGGTTCTAATCTGCTATCATTTGACTTCTGCAGTTCTTACACTGCCTGGGACTCACAGTGAAGAGTGAAGTGTGATTTGTAGAGTGAATGAGGACATGAGGTACAGGAGGGAATGCTAACTCCACTGCTGTATGGAAACAGAGGCATCATGCTCTTCAAGTGCACATGTCTACATACAGACGATGTCTGTGCACCTGGAATTAATCATTTATTTTTCTTTTGTTGCAGAAAATGAAATTTCAGAACACACTCTAGAAAGTTACAAGTCGAGATCAAATAATGAAGAAACATCATCCCAGGAGAAATATGGCCAAAGTAAGTCCACCAGGTGACCCGAGATTTGAAAAACGAGGTTCATTGATTTGTTGTGTTTAAGGGGGAGTATAAAATCAAAATTTGATTTTTTAGCACTAGGAAGTCGACTGCCTAAACCATCCAGTAGAACCTAAGGAAGTGCATCATAAAAATGAAAAGTGTCTGTGAACTCATGGAGTGGTGACCGGGAGGCCACCCCTGGGTACTGGCTGACACAGCACAGCTCTGAGCTATGTGTCCCTCCCATGCTCCAGAGCATCCTGTGCACTTCTCCACCAGTGAAGGACTTCTCTACCCTGCTGTCATTTTTGGTGTATTGATTTAGCTACAACAAATACTCCCTGCAGGTGGTGAATAATTGGATTTACTCTCTGTGTATCCCCGGATCCTATCACAAGGCTCAGCACAAATGGAATGTTTTGTTTTGTTTTGTTTTGTTAATTTTTTTTCTTTATTGATTTGAGAGAGAGCGAGAAAGGGAGAGGGAGAGAGAGAAACACTGATGAGAGAGAACATCGATTGTCTGCCTCCCGCATGCCCCTACTGGGGATCAGGCCCACAACCTGGGCATGTGCCCTGACCAGGAATCGAACCGGCGACCTCCTGGTGCATGGGCTGATGCTCAACCACTGAGCCACACCCACCAGCACAAATGGAGTGTTTAATAAATATTTACTGAACAAACGAATACAGGGCTTAGCTAACTCCAGAAGAAGTGTCAGATTTTTTTGGATGATGTAATTGCAATCCCTCAAACAAGATCTGTAAAGAAATTTTTGAAAAACAGTCTAGAAGGAAAGGGGAATAGAGAGAGCGAATTCTTGACAGAGATCCAGGGGACAGAAGTAAATGCCTTCCAACTGTGTTTTCTCCACGCAAAATAACCTGTTCTACCTGCCAAGAGTTGCAAGGGATGCAATGAGCTTCACAGCTGGTGTCTGTTGGTTTTACTGGGGTTCATGTAGGAAGTGTGTCTTTTACAACAGTCTGCCCTTTGCCGTTGATTTGGTGGGGTGTGAAAGGGGAAGAAATGGCTGTACTAGAGGGGAGAGGGGCACAGGGGTGGGCTGTGCGAGAGTTGTGGGTGGCAGGAAAGGTGTGTGTAAGCTACGTACAGTTCGCTGTACTGCACCCCTGTTTCTACAACATCCTGTCCTCAAGCTGGTCTGGCAAGGACGAGGAGGATGTCAACATAACGTGTAGGTGTGTTGCTCCCCATGAAGTTTCCTAGGCAACGCACACCCAAACAGTAGTTACACCTCCAGCAGGAAAGGAGAAGCCCTCAGCTCAGCTGCACAACAAGCAGAAGCCCTTCCAGCCCCACCTCAGGAACACTGAAGTGCACACCTGCTGGGCCTCCCTCCCGACGCCTACCCCTGCTGCAGGCCAGCGGCACACCTGCTGGGCCTCCCTCCTGATGCCACCCCTGCTGCCGGCCAGCGGCACACCTGCTGGGCCTCCCTCCTGATGCCACCCCTGCTGCCGGCCAGCAGCACACCTGCTGGGCCTCCCTCTTGATGCCACCCCTGCTGCCGGCCAGCAGAGGGGCCATCCCGGCTCTGCTGCGCGGGGCCGCTCCAGGCCTGCTGCGAGCCACGTGGCCCCAGTGCCATTTTTCCCACAAGCCCTGTTACTGAAGTTAGGACATTCTGCTGAAGAGAGTGGTTTTTTTCCAGCAATACACGTTATTTTATAGTGGAGATGTCTATATATTTTATTTCAAGTGTATGAGTATGTTTTTTATTTCACGAGACTTTAAAAGTTAGACTATAACACTGCATTCAGAGCATGTATCTGCATCCATGAATTTTAGATTCCATGTTTAAGACATTAATATATGGACCTAAACACACCACGTGCAGTTTTCAGATAAAGGGGTGCAGTGCTGCTCAGAATAAATGTTCCCTCCCATGTGTCTTGTTTCAGCTGCCCGCTCAAAGAGCTGCATGGACTACATCACGCAGTTTTACTCAGAGGCAAAAGCAAAGAGGAAGGGGCGTGCTCACCACGGAAAACTGAAAGGACAGCACGCTCGCGTCCCCGAGAGCATCGTGTAGGCCCCTGCGACAGACGTGCCTCGCGCAGCGCCGGTCACCGCAGCGGACAGCCTGCAGGAAGGTGTGGTCCCTGCGAGGGGACACATGCTGTCGGTGCCGTGCAAGGTGCTGTCCTCCCGTGGTAACCAGCCCGGACTCAGCGGAGCAAAGTGAGGATGAAACCGTGGACACAAAGCTTCATAGTTTAAGAAATAAATAACCTGTGATGCCTGACACTACTTCAATGGATGAAGATGCTACTAAGCCTTGGGATCTGGGTCAGTGTGACCCACTAACACGTTACTGTGAACTGAATGGTTTTCAGATGGAACTAGTGGAAATTATGTAAAAAAATTTTTTTAAGTTTAATCTTTCCTTCTGGTCTCCAAATAAAGAATTTTGAGATGAAAAGGACCTAGAGAAGGTCTCTAGTCCTCAGCGCTTTCTTCCAAGACGGACGGCGAGGTGCACCAGCAGGCGCACCGTCAGGGCGAAGGGGCACATGCCAATGAATGAGCCAGGGGACCATGAGCGCCCTGGACGGTGTGAGTTCAAGGTGGGCCCAAAGGTTCCATTTCCTTAGGTTTTCTCGCTAAATTGCAAAAGCTGACTTGGTGACAGTTTTTTTTAAGACCCTTCATTACAAAAACATGTACAAAAGAACATACTGAGTTTAATTAACTAATTATTGACTTAATGGATGTTTTTTAAAAAGTTTTTAACAGACTCCGCTTGGATCTGAATAAACTAATTCTAAAATAATACACTCCCCCGGCCTGTCCCCAACATACCACACACACTCAAGTTATGACTTTGTAATTTGTTACAGGGTCAGATCCAGTCGTGCCAACAATTTCTCGTGATAACTTTTTCTCTTAATCCTCACCAGAGGATATTTAGAGAGAAAGAGAGACATCAATGACAGAGAAAAGCATTGATCTGTTGCCTCCCGCACATACCCCAACCAGGGATCGAACTACAACCTAGGCATGTGCCCTGACTGGGAATCAAACCCGCAACCTTTTGGTGTACAAGATGATGCTCCAACCAGCTGTGCCACCTGGCTGGATCCTTGATAACTTAAAAAAAAAAAAAAAAAAAATCACAAACTTACTGGAAGATGTGAAGAGGACAGAACACATTTCCTTCTGAACCAGTTGTAAGTTGACATGATGCCCCATATGTGTGTGTTTCTTACAAATAAGAACACTCTCCTCTATAACCATAATGCAACCATTGAAATCAGGAAAGTAATACTGATACATTTCTACCAGCAGTTCTCAGACCATTGATACATTTTTACTGAGGTCCTCAGACTCCCTCCACGTCTCCCGTTGTCCCAGAGGACCCGGGTCAGAATCACGACCTTTGGCACAGCTCCTCAGTGTTTCCTTCCTGTCTGTGACCAGGACACTTCTGGAGATTACAGACTGGTTATTGTGTAGAGTGCCCCTCGGTCTGGCCTTTCTGACGTTTCCTTATGATTATCACCAGGTTATGCAATTTTGACAGGACCATGGAAGAAGTGGTTTTATCACTCTGCATTTTCTTTATTCCAGACTTGATGATGTTTACTTTAACGGGTTGGGTAGGGCGGTGTCTGCCAGACTTCTCCATATGAAGTTATTTTTTTCTCCTTCCTAAGAAAATATTTTGTGGGGAAATGCTTTACAACTGTGTAGATATCCTATTTCTCATCAAACTTTCCAAGTTATTCATTCATTTACCTGTCTTTACGGAGTCATGGTTTCCTCTGTTATTCACTAGGTTACAATCTGTTACTATCCTGTGTTATAATCTGTTCCTGTCAAATTAGTCTGTTGCTTATTTGATGATCAAATTGTGGCAACAAGCTCCTGTGTTCTTCTTGTCCTCAATTTTCTAGCACTTTCTTGCTTTCTGGTGTAAAATATTCCAGGCTTGTCTTAAATGTTCCAGCCCCTGCCCTGTAGGCTGCCGTTTCTCCGAGAATTCCGGTTCCTTTTGCTGGAAAGTGGTATTTCAAAGCCAAGACCCAGGGGCTAGGTATGCTCGTTGGTTTTGGAGTACCACTGTCTTCAAGTCACCACAGCAGAGAACTAGGAAATGCATGTTTATACATATACGCATCAATGTGCCTATGTGTGTGTATATATTTAAGTCTATGTATTAAAAACCAGTAGGTTCTCTTCCTTTCTGTACTTGTGACTACCTTTTCTGAGAAATCTGGCTTTCGTTACTCTTAACGACTTTACTTATTTGCTCAGTGCTTTGTATTTAAACAGTCTCCCATCTCTGCTACCCTCCCACTCTCCTGCGCTCAGGTCTGACTTGCGGCGCCCCTCCCCCACCACGTGGATGCTCTGGTGCCAAGCTGGGCTCTGACACCCACACAGCTCACCCCCCTGCACAGAGGCCCTGCCCTTAGGCTTCTCCACAGCGCTGCATGGAAACCCTGCTCCTCGCTCAGCTCAGACGCGCTGCTGGGCAGCCCTCCAGGAACCTGACTCCCGTGGGCTGCGCCGTGACCACCTCTCTCCACAGCCTCCCAGCCGGGACCACGTGCGTGCCCACCTCGCCATGCCCCACCTAATGACCTCAGGACTGGATTCTTTGGGAAGAGAAGGAGAGTGAAGGAGTTAGGATAAGGGAAACAAGCCAGATGCCCTGATTTCGAAGCGAGTTTTCATGGACGAAGACCTCCGGTGATGCGTCTATGGTTTTGTAGCAGCTCTGAGACACAAACCAGTCACTAAGCCCTTCATGTTCTGAGGAAAACGCAGAGGGAAGAATTACAGAGGGCGCTTGTCGTGCCTGATCAAACCTTGCTCTGTATGGAGCTACCTTAGTCCACGCCTGCAGGTTAGTGCTCTAGGGATGTTTCCAGAGGCCCCCACTGCTCAATGTCACAGCAGATGGGGACATTGCAGGGGTCAGGATCCCTGGGGGGCTCTCATGAGACAGGGACTCCCAGGCGTGTCCTCAGACATTGGGCTCAGCAGCCCTGAGGCAGGGCCTTGGAATCTGCATTTTCTTAAAGCTCCCTGGGACTCCCAACAGGTTGGGGTGCCCTGATGTGGTGTGATCCCAAATTTTAAAATCATAGCTGAAGTAGATTATCATTAAACCTGAGTTACAAACAATATTTAGAAATATTATCCTACCTGGTGTGGAACTGTACTCTGAACACACAGGCCAAACATGTTCTGGGCAAAGAATGTCCAGCTTGCACTGTGCCTGCCCTGAGGTAGTTTCTCCATTTATATTCAGCAAGTAGCAGAGGGAAGACAGGAAAACAGAACAAAATAAAATGCTTGTAGAGCATCTACCACGAGCCAGACCTTCCCATGGGGGCTCTAATCTCATCATCACGACAGTCTTGCAGAGCAGGCGTCATCATGGACATCTGACCCAGAGATGCTGTGACCTCTGAATGGCCTAGGGGGCCCCAGGCTGCCTGGGTCTGTTCGCTTCGGTGCTGTGCCCCTGTGACCGCTGCAGCAGAATGGTTCCAGGGGACATTGAAGAGGAAATGAGACACTGGATAGCTGTGCCCAATCTCCACATGCTCCCCTTCTCTACCTGCTCGGGGCCTGGGACACGGGCACCTGGGGCTACATCAGCAGGGCTCCCTTAAACTGTCTCTGGCTTCCCGCTGGGGGTTGCGGAGGACCAGCAGGTGAGCAGAAAATGTGTGTGCAAGGTTTCGAGGGCCTGGCCGTGTCCCCTCGTGGAGGTCCAGCTCCTGTCAGGCAGACAATGTGTGTGCAGGTTGCTAGGCCCTGGCCGTGTCCCCTCGTGGAGGTCACAGCTCCTGTCAGGCAGACAATGTGTGTGCAGGTTGCTAGGGCCTGGCCGTGTCCCCTCATGGAGGTCACAGCTCCTGTCAGGCAGACAATGTGTGTGCAGGTTGCTAGGGCCTGGCCGTGTCCCCTCGTGGAGGTCACAGCTCCTGTCAGGCAGACAATGTGTGTGCAGGTTGCTAGGGCCTGGCCGTGTCCCCTCGTGGAGGTCACAGCTCCTGTCAGGCAGCTCTCTGCACCTCTGGTTCTGCAACCTACTTGCTTTGTCCCATCAAGCACAGAGGGATCCTGTTCTGTCTTTGGGGTTCACACAGCTTTGTGACAAGTTCATCTATGAAATCTCCTCACATTGCCCAATGTGAGTGTATCTCCCGTCTCCTGCGAAGACCCTAACCAATGCAACAGCATGTATATGTACAGACTTCTTGTATCGTAACAAATCTGAATCAAGTTTCACAGATAGTTGTGGAATATTGTAATTAGAAGGGATTTTAGGGTTCATATCAAGCATTTCCTGTAATATATTTTGGGGAACACTGGTGGACTAGAAATGTTAACAGGTGTTCTGTGTGTGTTGGTGGGGGGGGGGGGTTGTGAGGTTAAATAAACTTGAAAACTGTTCAGTACTACATCTCCCTCACAGAGGTGATACAAGTTAGCACAGTAAAGGCTCCAAGTCTTCTCCTAGAGGACTCTGCTTGGCTTCATTTAACCCAGCAAAGCTCAAACTTCATCATCTAGAGCCATTCATGATTGTTGCCCATCCACTGACCACCTGCCAATGTCTTTCCCCTTTCCAGTGGGTCTGTGATTTTGCTCTAGTATCTGTACCCCACTGAAGTCCTGTGTTTTAGGGGAGATGAGCCTCATCCCCAGTCAAAAGGAGAACTCATGATTGGCTTGAACCTGTCACGGTTCTGGTCCCCTTGCTGGTGGCTAGTTTGGGTTTGGGCATGGAAAACAGGGCTGGCATGGAGACAGGAGTGGAAGTCCCCAGCAGACGTCTGGGGAAGATGCTTCCTAATGATCAGAAGAGACTCAGATGGAAAGCATCCTGCCTCACTCATGCCGTTGTCATGACTGCAAGTGATGCCTGGAACTGCAGTGCCCTTCCTCCCCTCAGGGGGTCTGAGTCCATAGAACCTGGGCTGGAACCCACTCCCCTTGCCTCGTTACTTCCACCAGTCTGTTAGAACCACATGGTCCCTACTGGAGAGGCGTCTGAAACCATTCCCTACT